AGAGAGTGAGGTTCCCAGAGCGAGTAGTCCAGAAACCTCACTCTCGCAACATTGAGTACCCATTTTAATTTGTCTTTGAAACATTCCTTTTCGAACTGAAATATCGTAAAATGCTACAAAATATTATACGCTTTAGGATTATGATACAATAACAGTGATAATAATATGAAAAATTCGTGTTACGATGCACGGTAGAATTTAATATTAAACCACGAAGCTTCAACAGACAATTTGTTATAAAGACTACAAGTGTATGTTTTTTTTTTTTTTAAATGTACTATTAATTTTTATTTTATATTAGAAACATCAGGCTAACGTCCTTCTAGGCTGATGTTGCGCAGTTGTAACTCTTTCTTCCATTTAAATTACTCGTGAAAAAATAGCAAAGCAATATTATTTTAAATATAGTGTTATGTTTTGTATATTAACCCTTTGCACTCGAGAGGTGACTCTCAGTCACCATTAGTTTTCACGCAGCATCAGCAATGTTTCTTTAGGTTTAATTTCTTTGGAACTCGAAGTGTCAATAATATGATTGTCGGTGAGGTAAAGATGATCTAATTCTCAAATCTCCATAGCTTAGAATTAGGTACTAGAAATCTCGATAGCTTAGTATCAGGTACTCTCGATACTAGAAAAAAGGCCTCGAGTGCAAAGGGTTAAGTATATCAGCCTAACATCCCTTTAGATTGATGTCACTTGACAAATTCTTTTCTTCACTGAAATTACTCCTGAAAAAATATTTTTAAAATCTAGCCAAGCAATATTCAGCCTAATCTGAGTTAATAAAAAGGAAATCCCCGCATAGTGTCCTTTCAGAGGCACTCCCTCGACGAGGATCCGCCAAAAGAGCAACAACCCTCGCCGAAGGAGGAGAAGAAAACGACACAGGCACGGCTCGCGATCGTTAACCACCGTGGAAACGGAGGTACCCTGTCGAGCGATGAAACGCTACCTTGGAGAACGGACATACCCGGTTTAGCCCTTCCTATCCTGGCATTGATTCACGATGCCGAGGAGAATCACGACGTCCCGCTGACCGACCGCGAAAAGAGATGCCTGGCTGTGCCTATCGGTGATCTACACGACAAGAAACGGAAGCTTTTGAAAACCCGTAGCATCCCGTCACGACCGTGAGTAGAACGTCTAAGAGTGTCTTATTTTTTCCCACCGATGGGTTTGGTCGATTTATCACGAACACTAATGATATCATAGGTCCGATTCTTAAGACAAATTAATTTCGGGGAATTTTTAATGTAAGAAGTATGTGATATAGATAGTTAGGATTTGAATGCATGATGGTGTATAGTTTGAAATATATTGGATACGTGTATGGAAAAATATTGGAAAATGGAGGAGCCATCATAAAATATACATATATATACCTACATTCAGGGTGTCCCAAAAATGTTGGAGGTCCTTGAAAGGGGTGGTTCGGGAGGTGATTTGAAACAACTTTTTCCTTAGCGAAAATGTTGTCCGAGGCTTCGTTGAGGAGATATTAACAGAAAACACTGACCAATCAGAGCGCGCGGATACCGTTGGAGCTGCCGAGGTAGCGAAGGCTATGTGCTAAGCGGCCGCGTTTGTACGCGAACAAATGACTCGGCGTGCATCGAAGGACATTGACGCTGCCGCCTAGCGCGTAGCCTTCGCTACCGCGGCCGCTTGAACGGTCTACGCGCGCTCTGATTGGTCGGGGTTTTCGCTTAATATCTCCTTAACGAAGCCCCATCCGACATTTTTGCAAAGAAAATTGTTGTTCAGAATCGTCTCAGCTACCCCCCATTTCCGGCTCCTCTCCGACTTTTGGGACACCCTGTATACCTACATACATATACATGTATAAAGGAATAAAAGCTCGTTGTACAAAGAAACTTACTACACGAAAAAAGAATTTCTAATAATAATATAGTAGAGGGCCTCATAAATAGCAGTGGGGGTCTCCAAAAGAACCCAAGCCTCCTTCGCGATCTCTGGGAGGTCCTGCGTATGCTTATAATTATCCTTGCAGTCAACCACGAGTATACAACTCAGTTTATAGTATAAAGTTCAGTACCTATACAACTCTGTAACGAGTTGGAGTCAAAGAGATTATATAGATCCATATGGATCTATATAGTCCGTGTCGCGCAAAAGAGTATAATAACAAAGTACTCGTACACTTGGACGTCATCTTTCCATCATCGTGTCTTCTTAACAATAGCTTCCATGATAAGAGAACTTACTTTAAGCGATTCGACTGCTCGATAATTTATAGGATATCGACGTAAGAGAAAGAATTGGAACGACAAGGTGACTACGATGATGGAAACAGGGAGGATGGTACGATCGTGAACGAGATATATTAATAGTTCTCGTAATACGCTTCCTATTATTCAAGGACCATCGAAACGGCTAAAGAATAAGAAACTCGTTTTCTACATTCGTTTACCATTCAACGATATTGATGAAAATTGTGCACTTTTATTTTATTGTTGTTATTAAAAGTGAGAGAGAATTTTTATTTTGAGAAGAAATTAATGAACGTAAATTTATCAAGCTTTGCTCTAGGCAATGTTTCTATAAAACAAAAAACGTAGTTATATATTTAGTAATTATCATTTTGGATAATAGCAAAGAATTTGAAAATTGATATACTAATATTATTTATTAATACAATAAGTAATTATACTAATAATATCATTATAATGAGTATTAATGAGTTATTTATTTTTTAGTTATGATTAACTAAACTGTGTAGGTATAAATAAAATGGTTATGGCCAGGGACAAAATTGTATTATTTTTAACTTCGTTGCAGCGGAATGGAGAAACAAACAATGTCACCGAAAATAAAAGTACAAGAATCGCCCAATGTCGCCCAGCAAAAAATAGAAACCCCCATGCAACTCGCTAAAACGCCTGCGAGTAATTCTGCAGCAAACGTAAGATAAATATTTGCATGTTGATGTATGATGTAAGGACTCGTATACAATTAATTCAAGCATATATTACTTTTATAACGAGCTAAATTGTTCTGAAACAATTTTGAAAATTCTCAGGCGAAACAGACATTTGCGACAACTTCGAAAGAACCTGTTCAAAATGCACAGCCCATGGAACCACAATTTCAAACAAATAAAGAAAAAGAATGTTGGCATCTTTATAGAAAAATGTGTGACAAGGGCGTTTGCGTTTCCTTCGACACTGTTTTAAGGTTCGAATACGAATAACGATATTTGTCTACGTTATATAAGTGATTTAGCAGAAGCATTTTAATTTTCACCTGACATTCTTTTATTTGAATATTCTTTTAATCGATCATTTTTTATTGAAATTAGACATTTGGTACAAAAATACATTAAATGTATAGATATTTTATATACTTTATATACTCTATATATTTTATATATTCTATTTATATGTACTCATACCACAATCGTATTTACATACCACATATTTACATTTAATGAATACTTTTATTTTTCAGAGGCATGCTTACACCAACAGAATATCGTTTACGACAGAGGGAACTCTTTCAGGACTCCTAATGAAAATGCAGAATGGTTGACAAATTTTCTATCCTGCAAATCCTCGATTGTACTTTTGTAACGAATCTCAACTATCACCTAAATTAATTCAAACACTCTGAATCGTAAGAATACGCGCGCGTAAACATTGAACTGCGTTCAAGTGACCGGAAGTGCTCTAATTCGAATAACGATCCGAGCTTGTAGTAAAGCCCATAGCTCAGTATTGTATGCTCAGATTCTAGATACGAGTCGTGTAGGATTCACGAAAAGACTTTACCTTTTAGCGAACGGAATATCCGAATTAGTTCTACCAAGTTTTAGAACATACGTACATAACTGCCTATTTTTTAGACCATTTATAAACGTAAACGAACACACCGCGGTACTATAGATAATTAATCGTAAATGATAAAATGAGATTTATGGAACAACTATAGATAACTAATCGTAAATGATAAAATGAGATTTATAGAACAATGTTCATAGATGGGCGAGGAAAAAAAATATCGCTGCTGTTAATTATTGCACAAATTGAAATACATGAGGTCTGATCAGCGTCTCGTATGTTTTAAATGAAAATTAATATCGATTGCTGTCGTGCTCTCATGTATTCTTCGTTTTATATGATGTTTACGACTTGTTCCTTTGTATGGCAATGTATAGTTCAATAAAACGCATAAACTGTTGTTAGTAACGTCTGTTATTTGGGACTGTATCCGTGCTAGAATCCAAAAGACAAGATTTTGAAGATATTTTATCTTACGATGATTAATTGTACAATTATTTTATATTAGGATTTTAACAAGAAATAGATTGTTCTGATCATTCTTTATAATCATTTGTACTCGAACGAAACGATAGGTTTCCGAAAAGAATTATTGTATTATTTTAATTAGGCAATTATCAAATAATTAGAATTATTAATTAGCAGGGGGTTCAAGCGTAGATGCGGGGGAATGGAACCACATTTTTAGTTGAGTGAATTTTCTCCACGCGGCGCTAGTTGATCACACTGATATCTAGCGTATCAGTGGCAGTGGGTACCACCAACACTGCTATGCAAATTTTAGCATGTCGGTCACTGTCAATCAGTGTTACACACGATTAACTTGCAGTTTCTTGCTACTTTTATATAACAATGATGAATGATAAACTATGACGGAAATTGCTAAAATATTGAAAATGACTACTGTAAATGCAACCTCAGCGCTTAGCGCTGTTTTATTTATTTTTCATGGTTCAGGTAAAGCACCATTATTATATGTTTACATATGTTTTGGAATATTATGTTTAATTTATTCCTTGTTTAATTATTCCATATGTTTCAATTGTAGGATCTTCTGGACCCGACTTGAAACGATGGATCGATTTTTTAAACAAAGAGGAGTTAAAATTTCCACATATAAAGATTATTTATCCTTCTGCACCATCTCAACCTTATACACCAAATTTTGGAATGGTAATGCGGGAACATGCAAGATTATTTATAACTCAAAGATCAGTAATAATTCATGCCATTAATTTTTATTTCAGCCTAGCAATGTATGGTTCAATCGCAAGAGTATAGCCATTAATGTTTCTGAAGAAGTAGAATCTATAAATTCAATGTGTCAAAATATATCAGAACTGATTGATAAAGAGGTTTCTAATGGGATTCCCTATAATAGAATAATTATTGGTGGTTTTTCTATGGGAGGTGCACTATCCTTATATTTGGCATACAGATACAGACCTTCTATAGCTGGGTGCTTTGCTATGTCTAGCTTTCTTAACAAAGATTCATTAGTATATCAGGTACATACAAGACAAACTTTCTTTTATGTATATTTTTTCTTGTTGATAATATGGTTCTCATTGCAGTCTTTAAAAGAAAAACCAGGAACAACACCACCTCTTTTGCAATTTCATGGTACTGCAGATGATTTAGTACCACTGAGATGGGGAGAAAAGACTTATAATAATCTAAAGGAACTTGGAGTCAGTGGCCAATTTATACCCTTAGATCATGTGGGTCACGAATTAAGTAGGCCTGAGATAGAATCCTTAAAAAAATGGGTGTTATCAATTTTGCCAGAGACATAAGCTTGTACTAAGTTTATCTCATGAATAGAAACGTGAAATTACATGTGCCTTTTTTAACTACAATTTAAATATTGTACTTTTACACATGAAATGTTACTGCAAACATTTTAACTGACCAAATAAATTTGTCTGGTTGTATTCTTCCTGTCTATTGCTGAATATACATTTATATAATTCAATTATGTATTTATAATATAAGCTTATTAAATATAAGTGAAATACTTTCTTGTACCTGTATTTGTAAATAAAATTCCGAAATGTTCCTCGAATAAAGTGCGTTAAATCAATTTTAAATAAATTTAGAGGAGAAATATTGAAACTACTAAAATTACGAAGAGTGGCGAAGAAGGGGTAGAAAAAGTACGGTGACAACTGTTTCCATTCTATGCACAGGGATAGGAAAATAAAACAAGCGCCATTGAGGAGACCACTGACGAATCGTTGCCCGTGGTTAGCATCCCGCGAAGTAAACGAAATCACGTGTCTGTGATTTCGGATAAAACGTCAAAATGACTTGTATTTGTGTATTTCCCTACTGTCATGACATACACGATTAATGATGTCTCTACCAAGAAAGCATGGGAACAAAGTTAACGTCGATTATAAAGCACGGCTTGAGCACAAGTTATATCTGGTACGTTTCTTAATGAACGGAAAGTTAATCATCTATGTACCTCGCCCTCATATTATCAATAACCTTATTTCGTCAGCTTTGTACTCTATCATCTCTACGTAATAACATTCGTATACTATCCTTTATTTGTAAATATTATGAACAATTTACCAGCTGTCATACGTGTAACATCCTTTTTTCGTCTGTTCAATGTCGATTTAATTAATCCATTGACATCGAAATGTTAATTCTAATAAACACAATTTCCTTTGTAAACAAATTCTAATGTTGTATAATGTTTTAATAATAGAGCTTTTTTATGTATTATTACTATTGACAGTATATATGAATGTTATTTTTCACCACACAGGCGAGAGAAAATCCAGAACCAATATTTGACGTGTCAGAATGTGCTTTAAAACAAGTACCCTCTGGTATTTATTCATTATGCAAAGTATTTAGGAAAAAGGTGCTATGGATGTACAATAACAAGCTGACTTCACTTTCTGGTGGAGGTGCCTTAAGCGATTTGTCATTACTTGTTGTATTAGATATACATGGAAACGAATTTACCAATTTACCCTCGGACATAATGTATCTTGTCTCGCTCAAAGTATGTATACTTCAATTGTCAAATTTTCTACTGAAGTTATATAATAAATTAAGCAATTATAATATATTATTTCATATACTTTAGGAGCTTTATTTGCAAGACAACAATATAAGGAAACTGCCAAATGAAATAGTACACTTAAGTAAATTAACCACCTTAAATATTGCAAAAAATAATTTGAAACAATTGCCAGAAACAATGGGAAAGTTAAAACAACTAACAACATTAAACATTAGTCAAAATAAATCGCTTCAAAAACTACCTAAATCTTTGGGTTATGTGCAACAATTAGCACAGTTGGACATTGATGGGTTACACCTGTCTTATCCGCCTCAAGATATTTTAAACGGAGGCACTATAGTAATTGTAGCATTTTTAGCCAAAGAGAGTGGCATTGAATTTTCACCAGAAGAATCTGTTTCAGAAACAAATTTATCAAGAGACATAAGTTCTGAGGACATGCAAGCAGTATATCTTAATAAAAATAATGACGTGCAGGTACCACGCTTTAGAGGACCATAAATTTTGATGTTGCATTTGCACAGTGTGTCTTAAATGTTTTCGTTTTTGTTTTTAGGCAGCATTACAGAAGCTAGCAAAAATGAAGGCATGTGGATGCTTCTTTTATTTTAGTATGCTTCTAAACATGTTGCTGTGTATTTAATATTATTTCTTATTACATTTAATTTTGTTTTGATTATTTATTATATGTTTAAAATTAAATTAATTTATTATATGTACACAGATAGTTATGGTAATTTTAAGTAATCATTAATTTTGCATGAGTTATTTGAATATAACCATTTGTGTAATATTTTATGAAATAAAAAATTTACAATATATACAGTACAAAAATTGTATTCTAATGATTAGTTTCACTTTATAGGAACATCGGCAAAGCGCGTTATTGGAGGTAGAAAAAAATATCAAACAACAACAGGAGTATGAAATCGGAATTCATTCAATGCTGAAAGAGCATAAGAAAAAGGTATTTAAAATTACTGTTATGTATTTTTTTATTTTTATATAAGATAAAATAAAATTTATCGTTACTTTTTCTAGCTTCTGAAGGATCTTGCTTTACAGCAAACACAATTAGAACAAGAATTAGAAAAAGTGCAACAAGAAAGAGATTCTAATAGAGCACGTTTACTTTCTTACATTTACAATGGTATAAAGAAAACATTCATCTATACAAAAAAAAACTACTAATAAATGAATTAAGATCCTGTTTTAGTGTAATTATTTTTAACTTTTTATTTTTATTTTCAGCTGAAAAAGAAGCCGATAATGTTATCAAAGAATTTTTAAGAAACAGCGAGGAAGAAAGACAAAGCCAAGCTGAATTACTTGAACGAGAAAAACAAGAAGAAATGCAAATATTATCCTCTTGTCACTCTGAACAATTTATGTTTCGTACGAAAGATACACTTCGTAAGTATCGAGTATTTAAAGCAATGTATATCACTTATTTATATTTCAATTATTATCTACTCGTGTATGTGTTTATAGTTTCAATGGAAAAGTTATTGGAAGAAGAGCTTTATAGAACCCGGAAATTGGAAGAACATAGCAAATATAGAGACTATGCCGCGCAATCTTTGCTCACACTGTTAGTAAGACATTGTAATAATATTAGACATAATAGAAAGTAAAATATACAACTAATATAACACATCGAAATCCTCGCAAATATTTCAGAGAAGTAATAAATAATGATCATTTAGCACAAATAGTACAAAATCAGGAGAAGAACAGGCAAATTTTAATTGATGCATTAAGACAAGATGAAGTTTTACAAAAAGCTGCGGTGGCAGCATTATTAGAACGTAGCGACGCACGTTGTTGGAGTATTGTACAACAAGTGAATTTGGTACAATCTCAGTTAGCTGCACTTACAACTATTGAACTGGAGAGAAGGAAACTAGAAATTAACCAACAACTTGTATGTACTATTTATAATTATTAAATTTTCTTATAGGCAGTATCTTATTTTGTTATAAAATTGTGTTATTATTTTAAACACGTAGAATGAAATTGCTGAAAAGAGAGTGACTTTAAGTGCTATTCTGGTAAACTTGTTGGAACAACAGAAAACTAGAAGAGATCAGCTTCTGGATACAATCAATAGTATAGAACAACAACGTTGTATTAGCGTAAGTATAGCTGTAATCTTCATTTTGCTATTTTCACAATGATAACCATTATAAAGCTGTATGTTTATTCCTAAAGAATTCTAGAAGAAGAAGTCAGTTTTGGTTGATGCAATATCAGTGTTTGATGGAAGCTCGTCCTCAGGGTTTATTAGAAATGCTAGAACCTATGCTAGTACGACACGTGGCGATAGCAGGGGCATTACATTGTTTGCCATTTTTAGCTTCTCTACCATCATTACTTCCAGATCTTAGCGATGAACAATTGCAGAATGTACGTAAACAATATGTTTCGCTTAACGCGCATAATAGATATTTACTACTTCGTAATAATTTTAATACCGTAGATGGGAATACATTGTCAAAGCGATCGTGCTGCTATAAAACTGGCAGTTGAAAATTACTTGGCAGAAGTGAAACTCAATGAATACAGACCACCTATTACACCTTCTGCACCCCCCGAAGAAGCATCCACAAGTTCTGATTACCAAGAATGTAACGCTATTCAGAGTATCAATACTGCCGAATGTGTAATTTGCCTTGATTTACAAGTAAGCATAATCTCTTATTCTATTTGGAAATTGTTATAATTAAATTAGCGGTCATATAATTTTTATAAAATTCTATGTTTCTTATAGTGTGAAGTAATTTTTCTACCATGTGGACACCTTTGTTGCTGTTCAGGTTGTGCAAATATGGTTAATTCGGGTTGTCCAATGTGTAGAAGTGGTATAGATCGCAAAATTCACGTTGTAAAGCCTTGAAATTTGAATAATGCTTCTTGTAAATAATTCCACCTAGTCTATTTATCCCTAACGCTTTGATATTTTCATAATATGCGATTATTGTTTAAAAATTGATATATCAGAAAGTAAGTTACGATATGCATACATTTTAGACTTTTGCAGCTATACGACGTTACATACAACGTACGAGATTTATACTTGACGAGCAAAAGTGTCTTTTTAGTTATAAATAGTAGTATTATATTTTATTTTTGGTTGACAATTTTGCGATTCCAATTTAAAATATTCTTTTACAGAACAGTGAGTCTCAGTTAGGTACATGCATGTTTGAATCCTAATCTGTTACTGTTCAGTGCCATAAAGACAGTTCTTTATACCAATATACGTTATAATTATAGTTAAAATAGATTAATATTACCTACTTTTTTTTTATATTATCTACAATGCATATACCAAATATTTGAGGATATAATAATAGAATGAATTGCATTTATTAACATTCGGTTACACAATATGATTTTTTATATTAAATGGTCACCAACATATCTGTATGTGTAATAGCCTTATAAATACTGTGAAGATAAAAAACATTTTAATCCGTTGAAAAGTGGTTGAGAGTTAATAATGCAAAAGCCAGAATTATAAGCAAGCTTTTATAAATGATAGAAGTGAATTTTTATAAAAAAAAAATTTTATGTAAATCAGTATATTAAAACTATCCATTAATAAAGCATTGAAATTTTATTGATTTGTGTATACTGTTTGAGCAAAAATTGTTAAAATAAAAAGATCGTAAACAAAAGAATTTGTATAAAAAAAACCATTACCGATCACCATGTTTGTTTAAAAAAAATAATAGGAGTTAAGGGAAATTATTTTGAATGCTTTAATTATTTTTGTACTAATATATTTTGCTTTGCATTTAGTAATAATAAATAGAATGTGACAAACTTCTAGTCTTATATACTAAGCATGTAAAATAGTATGAATCTTTATACTTATTTTTACACATATGTATGTTTAAGATGTATCAAAAGGCCATAACTTCCCTTCCTCCATCTTCGTCTTCTACTACATCATCCCCATCTTTCTTCTGTTGCTTTTTCTTTGATGTCGCATTTTTCTTTTCCTTTTGAGTTTTACGGTAATTTTCTAACGACTCTTGCAATGGATCAATGAACTGATCGAATTCTATGTCATTCATCGCTTGTATAACATCTTGGCCGCTTATCGTTTTATGGTTTGCCTTTTTAGCAATCACATTTGCAGAGGATGTTAAATACAGTATAAAAATAGATGCAGCCTTTGCTACAGCGGTTCTGGCATCTTTAGCAATTGTGACTCCTTCCGGCAATGCTTCCTTTATAATTCTTGATACAACCGCATTTGGTAAGTTGAGGTCTTCCAGCCGTTCTGCCATCGGTTCTTTCAATTATTTATTCTATAGAAACGTAATATTCATCGTAATTTATTAGAATAATATTAGTTACATTGTTATGTTCAAAGGTTATGATTCGATGTGCATGGAAGACGCAACCAATTATAGAAAATTAAAATTATTATACTTACGGTTCTTTGAAAACCTTGATTTGTAATCAATTAAATGAACAGAACTAAAACTGACAATGAGTCAAAATAGATCTAACAACTTCTTGTAAACACTCTTCCTTCTTATTTCCCGCCAACGCATTCAATTATACATGTACTTGAAACAAATAGAGAAGAAAGTGAAATAAGAGGCATATCATACAACACTCAAGGAAATGTAATGAAACCACGAAATATGCTTCAATATTTGTATGTATGTATCACTAAATTTCGTTAAATAATATCAATATTTAAATATCTGTTTATAACAGCGACGAGACTGATGGAAGATGTAACGTGCGATACAAAAACTTTCATTGCAGAGACATCTATTCCAATATTTCTAGAACTTTACCTTCCCGCCAAATAACACAAGAACGAAAGACTTAGCAGACTGAATTATTATTTTCGTTCAATATACACATTTTAAAACAGCTTTTTAAGAAATGTATGTATGATCTGAAAATTGTAATTTAAGTTGAATGGTTTCGTACTTTTGTACGTTGTTCCTTTCGGTAATATACGAAAACAAATGTACAAAAATTATTTACAGGGTGTCCCAAAAATGTTGTAACACCTTGAAAGGAGAGGTTCGGGAGGTGATTTGAAACAATTTTTTCCTTAGCAAAAATGTTGTCCGAGGTTTCGTTGAGGAGATATTAACAGAAAATACTGACCAATCAGAGTGCGCGTATACCGTTGGAGCGGCCGTGGTAGGGAAGGCTACGAGCTAAGCGGCCGTGTCAATGTCCTTCAATGCACGTCGAGTCACTTGTTCGCCTACGAGCGCGGCCGCTTAGCTCGTAGCCTTCGCTACTGCGGCCGCTCCAACGGTATACGCGCGCTCTGATTGGTCGGGGTTTTCTGTTAATATCTCCTTACCGAAGCCCCATTCGACATTTTTCCAAAGGAAAAAGTTGTTTCAAATCACCTCCCGAACCACCCCTTTCAAGGTGTTACAACATTTTTGGGACATCCTGTATAAACATTTCTTCAAACTATTTAACTTCTAATATTACCAATTCAATGTAATTTGGTTTCTTGATTAGTTTTAGCAATATTACAAATGATGGATAATGGACGAGAAGCTTCAACTGTTTTAAACTTTTAAATCGTTTAGATCCCAGTTCTTTTACAGTTTTATTATTGCTGGCATAAAACGTTTTAAGGAGTGTTTTAATAAGACTAAAATTGCAATTTTAAGTATAAATTGTTAGTGAATAATTTTAAATATTTCTCGCTGCTCTCACTAAAATGTGTGTCAATCACGTTGGTAATGTTCGGAGTGATATGAAACGATAAGACGGCAGAGCCCCCAAACCCTTTCTCCCATACTATGTAATGCGACGTATATATGAATGTCAAAATCACGTCTTACAAACATTTGCTTCACCGTAGAACGCAAAGAACTTGTCGTCTGCACGGTGGTCTGTTGAGTGCCATTCACAATTAAATTGATTTCTAAGCTGACAGCTTCATTGTTGCGATTACTGAAATTTAAGATCAAACTAAAGCACCATTCGGAGGAAAATGTCAAAAATCGAAGAAGGAAACGCTCATATACGGCAAGCTGAGAAAAGGTACTGTCACTGCAAAATGACACTTCACAGCAAAACTGTGTCAACAATAAATTCGCATTTCGGCAACTTTTTATGTGGAACCGATAAAATCTATTTTTCCCGAAATAAATATGACGTAATTGCTATTGATTAATGTGATCACGCAAATAAGGAGAATATCTGTTATAGCTTAAAAACATCACTGTTAAAATGGAGACCCGATTTCGAAGTCGCGGCTGACGAATATACGAGTGCAGGTAAAATATATGTAAACATATTGCATTTGTCATGTTTTATATTTAATATATTGTACTGCATTCTTTATAGCAACCTGCTTTAGAATAGCAAAGAACTATCAACAGTGTAGGAACTGTTTGATGAAAGCTTCTGATTGTTATAAAGAGAATAGATCGTATCCTTTTTAAAATAAATTCGTATATATCTATAATATTTAGAAATGTTACGATTTTAATCTTTCCAAAATGTGTCAGAAATATAATTATTCTTTAACTTTAATTATAAAAAAGATGGTTTCACGCAGGAAAGTAAGTTTTTTATGAATTGAATTATATTTTCCTTTGGAAGAGGTATTATTATGTTAAAAATTTTAGGAGCATCGAACAGGCAGTGTTGATTTGCAAAGAAATGGGAAACCTTGCAGATGTGCCAAAGTTGGCACACAGTTCGTGTTCTCTGTACCAGATGCATGGATCACCTGAGTCAGGTGCATCTGTACTTGACAAAGCAGGAAAGATGATGGAGGCTACTCAACCCCAAGAGGCATTAGAATTATTTAAACGTGCTGCTAATATTGTTATGGTTGGATATCATTTATTTTTGTGGTAACAAAAATTAAATTAAGAACTATACACTGTGTATTTTCTAATAAAGGGTGAAGATAGTCCACGTCAAGCAGCAGAATATATGAGCAAAGTCGCAAGATTATTAGTAAAACTACAAATGTATGATGAAGCAGCTGATGCTATTCGCAGAGAAATTGGAATGCATCAACAGATAGATCATGCACCTTCTGTGGGAAGATTAACAGTGGCATTGGTATTAGTACAGTTAGCTCGAGGTGATCAAGTGGCAGCTGAGAAAGCTTTCAAAGAATGGGGAAATTACTGTGAAGCACCTGAGGTATAAAGTACATTTTTTGAAAATTGAAAATTTCCCTCAAAAAATTTAACACATTCACCCGTAGATTCAAACATTAGAAATGTTACTACAAGCTTATGATAACGAGGATGCAGATGCAGCTAAAGCAGCTTTAAATAATGCTTTTATTAAACATATGGATGTTGAATATGCTAAACTTGCTAGACTTATACCTCTACCACAACAAGAATATGCTGTACAACCACCAGGAATAAGAGCAAATGCAGCTGAATCATATACATCTCCCAATGCAGCAAAGTCAGTCGATGAAAGTACAAGCAAAGCACAAGTATGTAACGAGTGCATTAACCTAGTTTTATTTATTAATTGATTTTCCTCCATTTATTCTTGTTGCTTAAAATTATCCTTTTATGAGCAACAAAAGATAAACAACTCCAAAATTAAATTCATTATAATTTGCAATAAGGGAAATTATATTTTAGAGTACAAGCAACAAAGCAGTTGAAGAACCCACTCAGAATACATCAGAAGGTACAGGTGAAAAAGAGGAAGAACCACCAGCAGCATCCCCACAGAATGAAGTAAAAGAGGAAGATGACTATGAAGAAGGGTTATGTTAAACAACTATATTCATTACAAGTGGCATAACTTATGTCTCGAGACATGTACGAACTTTATTTTATGAGAGGTATTGTATCATGTTAACCGTAAGATATGTATTTAATGCCTAAAAAATATTCTTTGCAGGCATGCTTATATATATAATTGTAAATTTCAACTTGTCAAATAATTCAGTGCACTCTTATCAGCTTGGTAAAGAGATGTTGGAATTCTCAAGAAAAGTTATGCAAATAATATTTTATTCTTTAAAGTATGTTCACAAATGTGATACTTGTCAGGAAACTTTAAATTCGTTTAAAACTGCAGTTGTATAAAATATTTTAAACATAGTTCTTTGTGTATACTCCAAATGAACAAAGTGCTATGACAGGAAGTAAATGTGTAATGTATATGCATTTATGTTTAATAGAGTTCGCAAGATCAATTTTGAAAATTTAAATGGTTTGATATTAATATTTATTTATTTATTTATTTAATGAGTAACCCCTCTGATTTATATGATTTTTAAAATGTTACATCAGCTTTGTAAATGTTATATTTTCTGATACTCGTAGAACACCTGCAGTAAAAGTCTATGATTGCAAAGCCCCATGTCAATAAAGCATATGTATGAAACACAGATATTTTAATAATCTAATTTCATGTCAATAAAATATAATGTGTATAAATATATATGTAACAAAATAAACTGTTATTGCAAACTTATAGGCAAACGTGTAGATTCATTTATACGAGTAGATCAGAAAAGAGGTTATGGACATTAAAAGTAAATATATACAATCATAACAAAATTTCTGACTCACCCACTTTTAAGTATTAGATCACGTGCAAGGCTTACTCCTACAACAAATCCTCAAGGGGTAGTAGAAAAATTGTTCACATAATATTTTCACGTTATGCACAACTATACAGTAAACAAACTCTTTCACTTTCACGTTTTTAAAAGATTGCCACGAAATTGCATAGTAGTTTATAGCAATAACTACAAAGGATACAAACGTGGAGTCGAATTCAATTATAATTATTTATATAAAATCACTACACATATGAAATAAAATGTTTAAATTATATTTAAAGTCTGTTTGTTCTTTGTTTTTCTACTTGTTATATTAATCCTATGTAATTTAAAGATATATACGATTTATTCACTTTATCCAGCAAAAAAGTTACATTTACACGAGCTACTACTGATATAAAACGTTGGATTTAATTAGTGAATGTTACGGACGAAAGTTAAGTGAAATACACATTCGAAAATGAAGTTATCATTTTTAGGAGTATTCGTTAAGATATTTTCAAAAAATTAGCGCGTCAATTATCCTCCCGTTGCGCAGGTTCATTCGATGACAATAGTAATAGAGGGGCAAATTACGAGTCTAAAGATGAATACATGAAATTGCGACGACAATTAGAAGGGAAATCTACATGGAAATATTCTTCAGGCATCTAACATTGATCCAAAGAGTATTAGATACTCTTTGGATATATAATATATAATACTCTTTGCATTGATCAACTACTGACTCTAAAAGTATGGACGTTACTCGATATTCTTCCATAATAGAAACATCGTATACAGGGTGTCCCAATAATGTTGTAACACCTTGAAAGGAGTGGTTCGGGAGGTGATTTGAAACAACTTTTTCCTTAGCGAAAATGTTGTTCGAGGCTTCGTTGAGGAGATATTAACAGAAAACCCCGACCAATCAGAGCGCGCGTATACCGTTCGAGCGGCCGCAGTAGCGAAGGCTACGAGCTAAGCGGCCGCGCTTGTAGGCGAACAAGTGACTCGACGTGCATCGAAGGACATTGACGCGGCCGCCTAGCTCGTAGCCTTCGCTACCATGGTCGCTCCAACGGTATCCGTGCGCTCTGATTGGTCAATTTTTTCTGTTAATATTTCCTCAACGAAGCCTCGGACAACATTTTCGTTAAGAAAAAGGTTGTTTCAAATCACCTCCCGAACCACTCCTTTCAATGTGTTACAACATTTTTGGGACACCCTGTATTGCCCAGAGTTCTATATAGAACATAATTAGGAATGACATTTCAGTTATTGTTGCTTAAATTTTGTTAGTATTTCGATTATTGTCTAGACAAATACAAAAAGTAGTTTAAATTAAGTGAATTTCCCTCCATTCCCGCCGTTCCCTTCACCACTATTTAGTTCTGAACCGTGTCACATGAGGCGCTGTCATAGGCCAGCGTGAGATGCTTCTCCCTGATTGGTTGCTCGCTGGGCCAGTAGCTGTGAACTTCGCTTTAAGCATTTCGACGTGAAATCAATATTACAGTTGGCTTTTAGAGAGGCGTGTTTGCGCACGAACGTTAAAATCGAATAAATAGTCGTCTGCAGGAAGAGTCGGAGCAGACGTCACAATACACTAGGACGCATGGTAGCATAACAGTGGGGCGCGAGCACAAGTGTCAATTCGATTATATTGTCATCGTTTTCCGAGGGTATATCGGTGCTTTGGCGAGATCCTTCGGAATTTCTACCGATGATCGGCAAATCGCGCATACGTATTCCTGTGGGTGCCGTGAGGCGGCGAGAAAGACCACCTCTTTAAATTAAAAGAAGGAATGACGCTGGAGAATCCGTTCTTTGTCGTCAAGGAGTAAGTAAAACATTACACGATATTACGAACCCTTTTATCGCTTATATCGTGACTATACAATACGTCGACAACCGTATAATTTCGATGGTAGCGAGTTTACACGGTTGTCATGTTTGAACTTTTGTTGTTTCTTTCGCGACATTGCTGCCTGTATATATGTATACGTCGGCCCTTTAAGAATAGTCGCGAGCTGAATTACAAAGAGACCTTGCCTTTGATGTTTTTTAAATAAAAATTACACTTTCGCGACACTCGACACACGCGTTTAACAACAGTCCTTTGTACGAAATCTTATCGCGACATGCATATATTATAGACACCTCTAATCTTAACTTTTATATACATTCCTTCGTTTGTTGTATTAATTACACTCCGTTATTTTTATCTTAAGTAACGTTGAACTTTTTTCGCAATGCTTCAGATTAGTTTTGATGTATTTTTATTGTTCGTTTAAGTAAAGTAAGTTCATTTCAGTTGTTCTAGAGAGTTTGTGAAATATACGAATACAAATTCACGATAGATTATTTTATTGTGAGAAAATAACTGACGATATATATTTTGATATTTTTATTATTACTTCGACTTAAGTATGAATTGACTGTGTGAGTAATTTATATTTTTCCATCGAGATTAGTTACGATTTATCGATATCTCGGTATCTATTTTCTATTTTGCGATTGTTTCACTTATCGTTGAGAAGAATTATAATCTTAGAGTAATCTTTGAAAACATAAATATACAATGTATTATTTTAATATCGTATAATTGTTATGCCTATTGCTAAAAAAATTCAGCGTTGATTGATTGAAATCGCTAATTCAACTAACGTTACCAGAACTTTCAAGAAAAGCAAAATTCGAAATTTCGTCAAAACTCGGAATCCATTCTCTCGGAAAGTAGAAATAATTATTTGCCTTCTAGTAGAAGTTTTTGTATGGTTACGTAACGCTTCTCTACTAGATTCACATAATTTACGATTATGTTAATTATTTATGCAATACGTATCTTATCACATAAGATTGCTACCAACATATATCGACAAAGTAAAACGAAAGAAATGAATAAATGGAAATTTTCATTCCGAATTATTAAATAATTTGATTAATTTGATTTGACGAATAATCACGTTTTATTTCATCTCACTCGTTTCACAATGGTCGTTACGTTTCAACGTAAGGGGATAAAAGAACTTTTACGAACGAAATAGTACGTAGCTATTACTAATGAAATTTATCGTTTCGTGTTTTCTTTGTTACTGAATAATTCTTCTGTTCCTTTTAGCGAAGTTTGTAAGGCCCTAAATAAAAATCGCGGTTTATACGGCCGCTGGACGGAATTGCAGGATGTTATTGTCACAAGCCCTAGTGTGAGTGGGGGAATCCCAATCTCGCGCGACGAATTAGAGTGGACGACTACGGAATTACGGAAAGCATTGCGTTCGATCGAATGGGATTTGGATGATCTAGAGGACACGATTCATATCCTTTAATACGATGACAGAACTAAAGTCTCCACAGAACTAAAATTTCGTCTCGAGACAATTAGAAACTATAGAATCTAATATTTGTCGTATTACTTATTTTTTAATTCTCATTAAAATTAACGAATACTATCCAGACTTGCTTTCATCAATGGTCCTTTAAATTATTTATTGAAGTTCTTTAGTAAAAAGCTCCGTCACCCATATGTGGGTGACGTGGCGTTTAATGCACGTATAAATTATACGCGATATATTAATCCTATGCAATTTAAAGATATATACGATTTATTCACTTTATCCAGCAAAAAAGTTACATTTACACAAGCTACTACTAGTATGTATATAAAACGTTGGATTTAATTAGTGAATGTTACGGATGAAAGTTAAGTGAAATACACATTCGAAAATGAAGCAATTGAACAAATTATTAATATTATCTCTTTGACTGCGGAACGATTTTTGTTGGAAATTCTAAGGGGCGTGCCTCTAAAACAATCAAATTTTAATAAATATCACCCTATAGAGAATGATAAGACGAATCTTTTTTATATTTACAGTTTATTCATAGAATGTTTAATTTCAAAAATAAAAACTTAAATCTTATAACTCCTCTTTTCTGAAATTCTAAATGAAGAAATTTTAATTTTTAATTTTTGAAACTAAACGTGAAATGAATAAATTGTAATATAAAAACGTTTTGTCTTATCATTCTCTAAAAGGTGATGTTTTTTAAAAATCTATTTAACGATTTTCAACATTTCTCTGAGTTCAATTTTCGGAGACAGATATATACGCTCTTCGCAGTTAGAGAATTATAGAACATTAAATTGAACTCTGTACAACATTGTTAACAAACTTTAAGAAATGTGGCTAATTTGAAGTTAACAAAATTTTGTCTGGAATTCGTCGCAATTACAAATTCTAGTTCAAGTGCAAACTGAATGTTAATTTTCTATATTTTATTTACTATGTTTGATATTATCCTTAATTATCCGCATGACTATATACGTATCGTAGAAAAGAACCCGACAAAATTCAAGATAGATAATAAGGAGTTAACAGTCCAACGCAGTTTTATTGAACAAACACGAGAGGAAGTGAAGGTAATATGTGTTACGTTTCTAACTTTTCTTTCAACTAATGTTTTTGATAAATATTTTAGATGAAAATCTTGAATAACATTTAAAGATAAACAATATTCTGTATATAAAGTGTAATGTGCAATTTTTAATCAAGTTGACTGCATTAAATTATTTTAAGTTTTTAAAATAATCCAACTTATTAACAGATTTTATAATTGACTTGTTATAGATCATGAAGGATAAGATGAATTTAAGTAGAGGCCGGGACCGCGACAGTACAGCAAGACAGGTTCGTTATATTTAAATATTGTTTAAAAATACAGAAGTATACTTCATCTGACTATATAATATGTTCTCAACTTCTGCGTTTACACTTTGTTTCGTAGTAACACAATTTATCATGAATACAATTAATCAATGCGTACCAGAAGTAAAAGTTTATGCGAATTAATGTATTCTGCGCGTCTTTAAATTGCGTTCGTAAAATAAAATCGCGCAGGCTGCAACATCTGTGAGTAACTATCAAATTATCGATAATACTAATCAGCTGTGATTTGATCACCTTTAATTGCTCGTTATTACGTATCCTTTAAGTCATCTTTTGTTAAACCCTTAAAATTATTCGAAATTTCGAGCAAGTACTCACGGAGCATGCGCGTCAGATGGTAGGGGAAATCCAATATGGCGTCTCAAGCTTTTACTGCTGCGTTTGTCATCAAGTCATTAATGTTCTCGATACTCTGTTTGACATGACTATTGTGAATTATTTTGACGTCTGACGTCTTTATTCGGATAATGTGACATTCCCGTGTATTTATTTTTTACTTTACGTACATTTTTGTTTATGGTTTCATGAATATACTAGCACCAATTGAAATGAGATATAAATTTTAAAAAACTTGTTTGTTTGTCAAAAATTAGAGAGATGAGAATGAATTATATGGTAAATCAATATTTTTTATTGTAGTATATCAATATTTTTATATTTTTATAGACATTTTATGGTCTCTGTAACTATGTAATCTAGTAATAAAATCTTTATGAACCATTTAATGTAACCAGTTTGCTCTTTCCTAATTTGATATTATTGTTTATTTGTATCACAGCCACATTTAGACAACAGTCCTGATCGAGTTCCTGTCAACCATGGTACAACTAAGTACAGTAAATTGGAAAATGAAATCGATAGTCCGAATAGACAATTTTTGGGGGATACATTGCAACAACAGGACGATATGATGAGGCAACAGGATGAACAATTGGACATGATAGGAGAAAGTATTGGATCTCTTAAGACAGTATCCAGACAAATCAATACTGAATTAGATGAACAAGCAGTGTAAGTTTATTAACTAATAATTTTGTATACAGATGAATCTTTAAACATCTCTTCTTGCTCTTGAAATCTCTGAATAAACTATTTCCATGTAAATGTTGTATATTTCAGTATGCTAGATGAATTTGGTAACGAGCTAGAGGTGACAGATTCTAAACTGGATGCAACAATGAAAAAAATGGCCAAAGTTCTTCATATGAGTAATGGTAACTATAATAATTATATTCCTGCTCCTACTACTGCAACATCTAGTGTTTCTGATCTTGCCTCTAAACCTTCTTCTCTATCATCCTTATCGAACACGATAACTAATTGTTTTTTATGTTCAGGAGATTAAATAGGTACCATTAGCACAATTCTACCATAATTATTCAGTACATTAATAAAATCGAAATAGTATTTATATTCCTTTCCTGAACTATTTACTTTATCTAATATCATTTGTAATACGAATTGAATATTATTACTTATACTCACTTTCCATTTGATGCGGAACTAATGAAAATTTAAAGCTTCTACTGAAAAATTATGGGATTTTGAAATAAATCTGCCATTGGTTATTTACTTTATCTTTACAATAACATTGCATTTCAGTATCATTAATTAACAAATTATTTTCCTGTACACTTTTCAAAATAATTGAAACTAATACTTAGCACTGTTTCCATTTAATTATTTTTGAATTTTTTTTATTAAACATGTGTAGGATTGTGTGAACATGTGATTAATCCAAGGAATGATTTATTGAAAGGTAGAAGTCTCATTAAAATAACAATTAAAGTAAATAAAATATATTTTTTATTTCACCATTCCGCATACATAAATTGAAATCAGCTTCCCAAAATACTTCTTGCATTCTTGATGCGTGCACAAAAAAAAGTATTTATGCTTTCATTTCTGTTCTTTCATTTGCTTTTTTCGTTTGTTCGAAAAAATTATGTGATCACAATTAAATACTAAACTCGCACATTATTTAACATATTTTCATCTTATTTAAAAAAATATTAAGTAATCAAAGTCTTAAGAGAATGTTAATAGTATAGATAAAATATGTTATCAACATAAAATAAAAGTAATAATTAGTACAGATATATAGTAGTAATTATTACCTGAATATTGGTATATTCCTGTGTTATTTTATTTAAAATATATAAACTATAAAATTCTATAACAATGAAGACAGGAACTTATAAATTTATATTTCAAAACCCTATTCATTCTCTATGCTTTCTTTACATAATTTACATTTCAACACAGTATATTATAAGCGTTATATTTGCTTATATTTTTATCGCAATAGGGATAAATGTAGGCAAAGAATACTAACTTTTATTAATGCGATTGTCAAAGTCTATGCGAGCATACAAACAATTAAGAAATTGACAATTCGCAGAAATTTGATATTTGTTTAAATTAAGTAAATGCCAAAAAAATAGTATCAAAATGGACCAGTTGCAGTCGTAAATAACTATTACATATGTAGTACAATAGACACCAACAAGTGTAGTTCGTTGCAATTCGATAAGAGCACCAGAGATATATTGTTAAATCATTGTACATCAAAAATCTATAGACAGATAATGGATTATATTTAAGTACTTCATTTACAATCAGATTTAACAAAGTTATGCCAAATATTGTAAGGCAAGTGTCAAAGCAAGAAAAGTAGCGCAAGTAATTTGTGCCTAAGAGAATTTTAACAAAATAGACATAGAGATAAATAAATATAATATTAGAGAAACATTTTCAGTATGATTTAAAACCTCTGATACTTCTACTTCCAATGTGTACAACATGTGATATTACTGTATTAATTGATGCGTAGATGAAAATAGTTTAGTACACAATATTGTGGTATATTCACATGGTATTTTGCGAAAATACCAGTCAATTTATGTGTGTAATGAATGTAAATGAAAATATAACGTTTGAAAGAAGAAAATGTTGAAATAAAAAATAAAAAAAAAATAAAAAATACCATTATTTGTATGTATGGTGACTGCTGGTTGATTGTTGCTCAATGCGAACAAAATTGTTCATCATTCACGAGATAAGAGGGTTGCAATTAGAAGCTCAATTATAGAAAGATTAGAATTGAGAGTTAGAAAGAAAAAAAATTGAAAGATTAGTTAACAAAACAGTTATTCCATTGTTAGAAGAATGTTAATAAGATGACATTGTGAATTCCTAATAAAAGAGATTGTTTATTCTAGCATGTAACTAAAATCTAAAATGAAAAGATATACTTTATATTATTTCTCTTAATGACCAATTGTGAAAACAGATACAGATGAATAAAATTTGCGACTTTATTTATACTGTACACGTTGCTGTAAAGTACCACAAACTCCTGATCCATTAAAACCACTCAAATGACAATTACAGCAATAATATTATATACATAAGAACTCGTTACGGTAAATTCTGTGCTTGAGAGAATTCTGCTTTTCAATAATTTCATTGTAACAATTGTGTTCAATTGTTTTGAAACTTAATCAGTAGTACAAAGTCTCTCAATCATGGAATATAAGCTTTTCCACTTGGAATATATTTATGAATGTGCGTTTATAGGTGTATTGTTTTTCTTAATTTTTGCTTATGTCTGTTTATATGAAGATAATTTATATGTATACAAAAAAGATTAATACATATAAGAATTATTATTTTTGGAGCTTCACAACTTAATTAATCTTGCAATTACTAATCATTCGTTACAAATAACTTGAACTCTCTTCGTGTTTTATTAGGATCTATTTAAAATACTAAAATAGTTTAAAATATTGATCCTATGCACTCGAATTTCTTCTTCAGAACAAAAATTCAAAATATGTTAGTTTTATTCTAATTCATTAAAAATATCCAATTTATAAGTCATCGTTTGAGTGCAGAGTATCAATTTAAATTTCCCATTGCATTGTTACGAAAAGCTTGTTGAAAAAATGCATGTTCAAAATAATGTACTAATGTTTACTGTTTGAAGAAGGGCCAAATATATATGCATTGATTTTTCTTATACAGTATGTATTTCACTGGTTGAATTTTATCACTGTTTATAGAACAGCGATAAAATCATTTGATTCTAACGTCTTTTTTGATAAGTGACGCATGTGATGTTACTTTCCGTTTGTTTTAGATCGGAGACAATGGGTAGCCATTGGAGTGTTGACCGCTATGTTGGTGTTTCTAATAATTTTATTTATGATATAAGTGAATCATTTAATTTCTTAGCGTCCGTAAGAATTATTGGTTCTTCTTCATAGCATTTAGTCGAATGTGTTAAATTCTGTTTCAATAACAAATTATTGATATTTTATGATATCCATTATAATAAATACTTACAGTTATTATATTTTTGACAGGGTCTTTATGAATTTTCCTTTCCCAAGAGCAGATAATAATTAATTTAAAACGGTAAAATATTGCCACGAAATTATTATCGACTCTGATATCTCCTGGCATTTGAGGAAAGGATAAACATTATTATTAATCTATTTTATTTTATGCTTTTACAGGTTTTTATAAATGAAATAATTACTACATCACGTATCGTTCGATTGTTAATTTTTTATTCGTATTAGATATATAACAATATTTTATAAAAGTGTTATACATAAAAAAGTTTGATGGTGATATATATTGTAAAATATATTTAGGCTTCTATTGTTCTCCTTTAGATTACTCAAATGGTTCTTTTTCGAGGTTTAATATAACATCGACGAAAAAGTAATGCATTATTCTGCTCTTACAAGCATATAAATAAGTCACACAATGTAATACATTCAATTTTGTACATTGGAAATTAAAACACTTGCCTTTTCGTCGGAGGAACTCTGGAAGCTCTTATAGAACTTACAAAAAAGACTTAAAAGACATGACAGTTACAATAAAATGAATGTATATAGATACTATATACACATTTGTACACGAGTACAAAGAAATTGTGTTACAAAGATGTTAAACGAACTGAAAATGCATATGACCTGGTAATGACAACAGAGGGAAAATATGTCTACTATATAAAATCTTTGGTATAGTGTTCGTTATTGTAATCACTTGTATGAGTACGCGAATGAAATTAATCTTTAAGAGTAAATGCATAAACATTTCTAAATGATTCGTTAAATAAGATAATCTAAGTATAAGTGCAAAAATAATATTATCATCTTGCTCGCCTAACGATTCCTTAATGTGACATTAAATTCTATAAAATTTTATTCTAATTTTGTAGTTCAAGTGAAAATATTTGTTTATGATTTAGGAGCATATAACTGTAATATACAGTGCACCATTTTGGTTTTTAGACAGAAATTTGATCGATTTGTGTGTTACTATATTAAAACATAATTCATACATTTAGTATCTTCCTTGGTCCACTTCTTGTTTTTTAAATGCACATAAGGCACTTCTAGTGATATGAAAGAAAAAAAAAATGGAACGATCGCACTTTTAAGTATCATATAGTTTACGATATAGTTTGTATTTATGGTTCCAATCGTAAACGATTGTGACATTCGACAGGTAAAACTTTCCTTATGTCACCGATATTTTGGACTTCGATTCGTAATCTGCTAACCTCATCTTCGTAATTCTTTACCCATTGCGTTTGCAAGTTCTTAGCTTCCGTTAACGATCGAATTCTTTGATCTAGATTTGCACCTGCAATCTCCTTTTCAGCAGCCACTAGACGTTCTTCCAAACGGTTTAAGTCAGCATCATCTGAATAATAAAAGGTTTCAATTTAGAATCATAGATTTAACAAAAAAAATTGCTTGGAGTTAAGCAATAAGAAGAAATAAATGTACCTATTTCCGGCAGACTGTCAAGTTCTTTTAATATATCAGCAACGTCAGCTAGAGCTTTGTCCACTTGTTGCGATGCTAAAGTTACGTTGATTATAGCTTGGCCGACTTTATGATTTGCCTGCAAAAGATGAATAACGTATATCCGCTAGTCTTAAATTAAATAAATTAGGAAAAGGTAGGCAGGAAAAGTCAATAAGAAAGGAATAGCTTTTCCTAAGATTTTATACATTATTATTTAATATCGATTTCTTTATGTATGGTTAATATCTTACTTCCGTTGTGATGTTTGTATCCTGACCAATTTGAATTTCATATTTTCCCATCATGGAATCCGTGGTGTCAACTCTCAGATGTAATATTTCAGCTTCGTTTCCTACACGAAGTGCTTCCTCTTTAATCTTGTTTGCTTCAGTTCTAATAGCATTTGCGTTTGCACTAGCTTCCTCTGCGTATGCCTAATGGAAAAATTGTATTTTACATTTAATAAATGAAAATTCGTGTTATGCCACACGTTCAATGAATGGTTAACGTACCTGAGCATTCTGTGCTATTTCACGAGAATATTTGGCGTAATCTTCCGACCCGGTCAATACTTCTTCCGCTTCCATAGCTTGCTCCCTCGCACTGTCAATAAATTTCTGAATATCTCTTATACCTTGTAAAGCATTTTGAGCTTTAATACGTTCACGTTGTACCTCAGCATCAAACTCTAAAGAATGAAAGCATAATTAAAGGTGATCAATTGTAATTCGTTTGAAGTATACTCGTTGATAAAAATAACTAAAGTGATAAATACCGCTTAATTTTTTCAACGTCTCCTGAGCTTCCTTCAAAGTTTGATCGCCTCGCTTTACAGCATCGTTTGCTCTCTCATTCGCTCCATCCAATTCTGCTAAAAGTTCAGCAGTAGCTGCCTGTTGATCCTGCGCTCTATCTATCAATACTTCGCTTTTATTTACCTTTTCTAACATTTCATTTATAAGGTTTTCATGTCGATCTAATAACAATTGTGCTTGCTCTTTTAATTGCAATCCCTGTAATGATATTTTTTTGTTACCATGCAGGTTTGTATGAATATCGATAAGATTTATCTTAAATTGAAATTTACCTCATTATTGACCTCTGCAACTTGACTTTGCAACTGCTTGATGTCAACAGCGGGAAGCGTCAAATCTAGAATTAATAGATCTAACGCTTCCTGCCAAACAGCGGACGATTTAGTAGCCGCTATGCTGGTAAGATTTTTCACCTCGTTCATGCGATGCTCCAATTGTTCCAATTTATTCTTCAATCCTCTGATATCTTCGCTAAAAATTAAATAAATTTTCTAAACAAATATACACTATTTAGTAGAACAATTATCTTTGACCTTAGGAATCACAACAAACTATTAATTGTAGAAACATTTAGCGTAGGTAAAACATCAGTATGTAAATAATAATTACGTACGTTAAATTAGTACTTTTCGCAATAGCTGCCTTGGCAAGATTATAGGCTTCTATCGTCGTATTTCGTGCTTGTTCTGCCAGTTCGTGAATCTTCTTAGCTTCGTCAACATTTCTGTAAATAAGTCTCAATGTAGATAACGATAAAATTTTATATATTATTTAGTACTTACATGTCAGCTGATGCACGTGCTTTTTGTGCGATTGAAGTCATCTGTTTGTTTTGTTGACCAACTTGATCCGCTCGTGATTTCGCGTCGATTAATGCCGTTGCCCCAACTGTTGCTAAATAATCTTCTGCCTCCTGATGTTTTATAAATTTCGTGTAAACTTATTCTCGTTTTTAAAAATTTTATTAAAAGCTGTGTAAATGCTATTCTTACAGTTAACTGATCGTGTATCTTGTCGAGTACTTTTTCTGCTTCGTCGATGCTCATCATACCCTCGGAAGTAGTTTTGTACGCATCAGACGCTGTCAAGTCTACCGTTTGCGAGATTTGTCCAATTTCATTCAACTGATCGCGTAGTTCATCGAGTTGTTCCACCAGGGTTTTATTTTCACCTAAAATATATTCGTTTGTAATTTCGTTGAAGAAAGATACGAAGTAACGAACTATACGTACTGCCAGACCCTTGTTTCGCAATCCTCAAAAGATTCTTCACTCTATCTTGAACGTTTTGTAGTTCCTTGTCGAAGTCGGAGTCTTTTATAACGGTTGGACTATTGTTAATCTTTCTGAGCGTGTTTTCTAGTTCAGCCAAACGTTCCCTGTGACTGTTAACTGCATCTTGTACAAGATTGTAACAATCTGGACAATCTACGCATCCATTTTGTCTGTTATGTTTGTTTTCCTTGCAACGATCGCAACGTCTTCCTTCCACGTTTGTGAGACACTATAATAATTATATCGATTAATTTTTATGGTGATAATGTTTAGATTAAGAGGACTTACCGGACACTGCCCACTAGCATCACACTGGAGATCTTGTGAACCGATATTATCGCAATCACATTGCTTGCAACCTTCTCTGCTGAATCCATATCGATAAGGAAGACACGCATCACAACGTTGACCAGTGACACCTGGTCTACATTCACACTGACCGTTAATAGGATTGCAAGTACGATTGTAAGATCCTTCGGGATCACAATTACAAGGCGCACATCCCTGAAATACGTATACATTGGTATCATATGTTTTAAGTAACAGATGCTTGTTACGTAGATAAGAACTTGAAGCACCTCGCCACTCAGTATGTGATAATATCCTTCTTCACATTTATCGCAGTTGCGACCAATTACATGAGGCTTGCATCTGCAATGGCCTGTCAATTGCTCGCAAGGCGCTACTCTGCCATCATCGAGTTCAAGAGTGCCCGGTGGATAACATTGACACAATTTGCAACCGTCTTCTTTACGATCGGACAAGGCGTCTCCATAATATCCTAAACGCAAATATCAATTGTATCATACTCTCGACGCTATGACAATTTACCTATCATTCTTGCGACCAAGAAATAGTGTACCTGAAAGGCATTCCTCGCAATGAAAACCGGCGGTGTTGTTCACACATTTTAGACATTCGCCAGTTTCGTGATTGCAGTTTCGAACGGCATTTAAGTCAACGTTATTGTTACACTCGCAAAATCGACAAGCAATGCCCTTCTCGGGATTTCCAAAATATCCATCCGAGCATGTTTCGCATTTAGGCCCTGAAAATTAACGGATAATTGTTTTTTCGTCGAAGGTATCAGATGAATGTTCTAGAACAGTGCCTTCCCAACTACCGAACAAATTTGAAAAAAATTGTCCACGTCGAAAATATTCTTTCGAACTCCTCTGGGATTGTAAAACGCTATATGTACATTGTTCGCGTTGCCTGCTTTCGAAAACACTGTTAAAAAGGTTCTGTCTTTACCTGTTCTACCCGACGGGCACTCGGAACAAATCGGATCCGGTTTATTGCCAAGTAATATACAGGGTCCATTGTCAGGACAAGGACACGGTTTACAATCGTCGGGTGTACCTTTCAGTGGGTGGCCATAATATCCACGTTTACACAATTCGCAATTGCTGCCAGCCGTGTTATGTTGGCAAATGCACTGACCTGAAATATATTCAATTGAAGGGTTTAAGTAAATATTAAGATAAAGAATATTAATTAAGATTATTCAAAATCGACGAACCCACTTCACCATGGATATATTCGATTTTGGGATTTTCACATTTTCTTGAAGTACACGTTAAAAATATTTCCTGAAAGTTTCAAGTTAATTCAGCAACATATTTGTTAAGGATATACGACTTTATTGCAGTTTATATTCATTTGTTTTGGGGGGAACAGAGGAATTCGTTGATTTCGAATATTCTTTCAAGACAAAGTTCGACCATAAATTCTAAATAAATACCAGTTTCGGCTTCACAAATATCTGCGTGGCCATTACAGTTGCAGGGGACACAAAGGGCGAAGGGACCACCATTTGGTGGGTCATGATGGAACTCAGGTGCGCACGATTCGCAAAACTGACCCACGTAGCCATTTGGACATTGACAGTGCTCCACCCAATCGGCAGGTTCACCCGCAGCTCCACGATGAGCTGTCTCCAACTTAACGTCGTCCAAAAATCCTCTACCTGAAGGAACAAAATAAAATCCATTAAATTCTGTATTAACGAAAGCGCTTCTGTCGAAGATCTTGATCGACTTACCTTGATGGGTATAGGTTCCACGAATTTTTATGGCTGTTAAATTCGATAAAATGGACATGAAAGCTCTAGATGATAGACGTGGCTCCCATCCGTAGCTAGGATGCTCGTGCAATTTGAAAGTATATTCTTGCGGCTGTAACGAATCGCGATCAATTTAGACCTAAAGCATTTCGTTAGTTCGTCGTTTTACTTACCATCACGGTAGGTGAACGATTGTCTTGTCCAAAAATCGGTTGTGTGATTTGTTCACCATTTCCTCCTTCGAGTATTATGTCGCGGGCAGTAGGCGCGGGACCAGTTTCTCCGATTCTCAGCGTGAACGATAAGTCTTGGCTGTAGGATGCTCGTTGATCGCCAAGGAACCTATCTGCACATAATCAATTTTTCTCTATTAATACTGTTTCAAAGATTGTACAAGAAAAGTGCATACACTTGTTATTGCGATTCGTTCACGGTGTGGTCGTATATTTACCAGGTGCAACGAAATAAACGTTGTCTCGGTCCAGTGCCGTGGCAGATATCGTTTGGGTAAGAGGATCATAATGGAGTGGTATCGGGTTACCAGCCACTGTAGCTGTCCATTGTTCGGCTCCTCTCACGAACATACTCTCGATTAGAACTCTAGAATATCCAGTCGCTGGTCTACATACTGAGGAGTGCCCGTAACAGAAGCAAGGCGTGCAACCAAACTCGTTGTCCATCGCGAGATTGAAATATCCTGGTCGACATCTGTTAGCAGGACAAGGTGTACGTGAATATAATTAGAATAAGTGTATAACTCTAATCGTTAAGTCTAAAATATTCCTTATTGATATGTCAAAATAAGTAAAAATTATGAAAATCTTGTAGAGGTACAAAAATTATGTGTTTATATTTAAAGAAGGCTCCATGGAGCTGTAGACAATACATCTATAAGATTTCTACAGTCTTACTCTCACATATCAATGAAAATTCTACCGTGTTACTGATATCTTAATTCTACAATTTGCACTAACACTCGACATCGCTTCCCTTCGACGTTCTCTTTACAGATGCAAGTTCCAGTGACAGGGTCGCAGCTCTGTGTATTTGCCAGGGAGCCAGCTATGTCACATTCGCAGGAAGTGCAGCCGTACGAGCCAAAGTTATAGTAATTCGACGCGCAACGGTCACATTTGTCACCAGTGACGCCAGGTTTACACTGGCATCTACCTTCACTGTTACATTGTAAGCTTCTAGAACCTGCAATTGTATCCAATTAGTACTATTTTTTAACACTGTGTTTTTTTACTTTTTAGTGTGTCCATCAAATCTGTCAATGTGATGTCTGGACCACCTTGAACCTTGATGCTTCTATTACCAAATGACTGCCCTACTAATTGAAGCTACTCTTCTTTATCTTATATTGCATCTCTTATGTTCTAACTCTTATATTGTGTTCTATACTGATTCATATTACTTTAGGCACAACGAAAAACCGCATTTTCGCTTGTTTCTAATCCTACTGTCTTTGTATGTTGCAGTTACTTGCTTAATAAAAATAAATAACAATAAATTACAAATTAATTTTCAAATTCATAACGCGATTTAACGAAGAACGATCTCTATACCGATTTCGTTGCAGTTACAAGCGACGCAGTAGCTGTCTTCAGGACGCTGATAAAAGTTCTCCCGGCAACGTTCACAATTCGCGCCGTCACGATTAGCTCGACAATCCAGGCAATGACCACCGTGGCCAGTCGCCTTATACAGTTCCTTATCGAAGTAGCATCTCTCCGAATACCCGTTGCAGTTGCAGGCTGAAAAATAACAAAACAGCAAACTCAGAATCGAAATATAAATGTAACCGAGGGAAAATGCTTCTTCATTCAAAATACTTTGCTAACGATGTACATTTTTTTTCAGAAGTTAATAATACAATCAAGATATTTACTGGACCCCGAATACCACGGCAGATTTCCGTCCCAACTCGAGGATGTGGATACCACTACATTTTCGAATATTAAAGTCACGGTTAACATCACCTTTAACAAGAAACACTCCATCGCAGATACTTAAAAATCGAGAATATAACGCACTTGGATTATTCTCACTTGACGCACGAATTCATTTCAGAGATTAAAAGATTCTCATCGGATGGCACGCGCGAAGAAATGTTTAGAATGATTTATAGATTGAAAAGTTTCTGTTATCAGACCCTACGGGTACGATGGAAAATTAATTAAAGGCTTAGAAACTGAGGAGTTGAGGAACGATTGGGATCTATGCGTTCAATACGAAACGTCGCAGTATCACGATTAGAAAACAGCGTGGATCCTTCCTTGATCGATTGCGTCCGTGATATCGCGTAATTGTGCGAGTCGATCAACACGATAAATAAATAAATGTGTGCTTGTATCGCGGTATCTTGAGCACTGAGCTCTCGCGGTCTACAGAAAAGCTGCATTGTGTGCCCCTGCATTGCCAACAATCCCCACTTCAGAACAAGCAATGAACGTAAAAGGTAAAGCTGGTTAGGTAATGCCAACGTGATCGTGAACGCAAACTCTCCTCGGCAGGCTCGAGAAGGTGATACCCATAATCCCAAAGAAATGCTTACTACCTTCGCATGTTTCATATTCATGGCGACAAACGATCGTAATTCGGTAGATCTATCGGTAATCAATTAATCGTTACTAGTCGTAGGATTTACATTTATTGGTAATATAGACAGCATCATTAATAAAGTGGGAAAATATTTTTAGTTTTAAGTCTTCTTGAGAGGAGAATAGTAATATTTAAGAGAAAAACAAACCTGTTTTTGTTAATAAAAGGTTCATTAAGGGTTTTCTAAAACGGCCTTAGAATTTTGTTTTTTAAATTAAAAATATTGATACATCTGTAAAAATCAATTGTAAATGGAAAAATGATAGTACAATTGTACTCTAATTTTCAACAATTTCTCTAGAAACAGGCGAATACTATAGATCATCCAAAAATAGTTCAGAGGCAAGTAGATCTGTATATTTGCATTATAATTATTAATTATTATTACGAGTGACCTATCCCACTCTATAAAATGATGGCTTCTAAATAATTTTAGACCGCACAAATGTTACCTTTTTTCTATCTGTGCATGAAACGTCAAAGTAAAACATGAAATTAGCAATTACGTTTCTTATAACAATCTCGAGCGACTGTTAAGTGGAAATATAATTTATGGTAACGGCAAGCGATGCGATTTGGTCACCGGATATAGAACGGTGAAAAACGGCCGTTTGAAGAGCAGGTTTGCCAAGGCCCACCTACACACTGACCAGGATGCCGACCTTTCAAAGATATCCTCTCTCATCGCCTACATGTACGGCGAGCGTACGTGTTCGCTGCGCATAGTCACGAACGCGTGCTCTATCAACGTGGTTATTTTTTAGTCAGTATATTACACTCTACTATACAAACATGGGTATGCTGGGTATTTCATGTATATATATCAAATTATCTGGATCATATCTATTTTTGTTATTCAAACAGATTAGTTGTGTAAAGATGGCCTTATAATTGTAGTCCTCTTCAGAATACAGATACTATGTTAATGAAAGAAAACAGAAGATTATATGATAGAGTGGAAGGGGTAGAAAGAGTGATTATAAAATGTTGAATGCACAATTCTCTATACAACCCATTTGTATATGTATATTTGTATTTGAATAACTAATTTCTAATTCATGGATGAACTTATTAGTCCCGCTTTTGCAAAGTATACAGGGTTATGAAACGACTCGAGATTTTCCATTTTTAATGAATTACTACCTTCTCTCCAGTGTTGACAAATAGATTGTTAATAGTACTATTGTATAATTATTAATATAATTTGCTATACTCACGTTTGCACTCGTGGGCGTTTGTAGTTGTAGCACGACCCCACGGGGCATCATTGTAGAATGGCAAGCACTCGTTGCAATCTGGACCCGCGGTATTATGCTCGCATCTGTAAAGTACAATTAACATATACATTATAAAAGTAGTATACATTATATAAATGAAAAAAAAAAAACGCAACTTCACAATTAACGAGGTAATACACGGCAGTGATTTTCAAATTGTTGTTGCGTTTACTATAATTTATTCAAAATTTAACATTTTACTCGGTGAATACATAAGATTATTTAAAGTAAAATGAATTTATGCATTTATGGCATATATGGAAAACATACAAAAAATGTACATAATATATACTGAATATATTCTACAATAAATATTGGGTTGTCCGGAAAGTCCATGTCGATTTTTGGTAGGTGGTACAGGTCTGAATATATCGTGGTTGAAAACAAATAACATGTATACATCCCTTAAAAAGTGGAAAGGTGTGGAACAAAATGGCACCTATGTAATTCAATAAATACATATTAAAATTCAAACGTGTTTTTGAATTTTTCTTAGAAATTGGCACGAACTTTCTGGACAATCTAATATAATAATATTATTTCGTTTTACATAAGTGCATATACGTTTTGATTATGTTTAGCATCTATTTATTATATTATTATTCCATCATAAATGCGTAAAATCCGCAATCCAGTGATAAGAAAATTATTATTCTTAGGAAGCAATGAAACAATATTTGCTTTCAGGTCTAACATTTACGAATTATCTTACCTACATACTCTGCGAGTTCTTCCATCTACACTTGTGCTATTTACACATTCTCCAGCGTGGCCGTTGCAAGCGCAACGTGCTCCAACGGCGACGTCAGCGATCGCATAGTAGTAGGATTTCAATACCTGATCATCGCCAAACACCTCGTCCCCAAACGTGTTCAGCCTATCCAGAGTGATCCTTAAATCTATCGCTTGGACCCAATCCTTGAAATGAGAACAATTTTTGCCATTTATTTGCCATTGATTTACAATGATTACCATTGAGATGTTCAATTATCCATTTTTTTTTTAACAATAATTCAGTGTATCGATAATGGTAACATACAACATGAATTTCAATTTTGGACCCAAAGAGTTTTCATTTATTACATTTTTTGTTGTAGCTTTATCAGCAATACACATGAATTTTTGTACTTGAAAAGCATAGGAACTTTCTAATTTGTAAGCTGTTGTTTATAGACATGTCAAATAGAAACCTTTTGTACCTTTTGTACTTGAAAAGCATAGGAACTTTCTAATTTGTAAGCTGCTGTTTATAGACATGTCAAAAAGAAACCTTAATTAACCAGCAGCGAATTTTATATAGATGAAAATGTTTTCCATGCCTGCGGAAGTTATACCTGCAAGGCCGTGTTTGTTTCGAAGTAGTAAGCCGAAGGTCGACCTTCCAGAGTAGAGAAGGCTACAGCGCCCTTTGTCAAGGGTGATATATCGGAATATTCCGAAGTACACAGAACCCTGGTGTCGTCCCCTTTCACTGTCTCCTTCGAATCTGGTAAGGCATAATTATCTCTGCAACTCGCGGAATAAAACTGATAAGCCTCCCATGGTGAATCCTCGTTTTGCCTCTTGTAGATGCCCCAACTCTCTGGACGTGGCGACTCGAAGAGCACTCGGACGTACGTTATATCGAACGTCTTGCCTAGAATCATGTTCGTTTAAAAGGAAAGTGAAAAAGATGAAAATCGAAATACAATCAAACTCGGTTAGAACAAGTAGCGGGGATCAAATTTTGTCTATATAACAACTACTTGCTATATCAGTGATGACGTACATTTATTCTTAACGATTTATAAATGTTTGATAAAGGGATAGATTTGAAAAGCAAAAGAAATGTTTAAAGACCTGCATACTATATCTATTTATATAATTGGATTAATTACGATATACTTGTAGTCGTGATACAATTAATTTCGATGTGTTGTTTTAAAATTATAGATTATATGAATTGTGTCTCTCATTCATTCTTTTCCGTGCCACATTCATATATATTACAGCCACGTTCGATTGTATCCATAATATAAAATTAAAATACATATTTTACATGAACCATGCAGTATTATAAAAGTAATTGCTAACAAATTCGTTTAAATTTATAGAGTCGAAATAAGGAGCATCGAAGTGATCGAGGAAGAAACGAATTCTACGCCATTGCATGTTTCCTGCAGTGACATCTATTTTAAAGAAAATCAAGAAAAAAGGGGAAGAAGCCTAGATAAGTGTGCTTCAAATTGCTTCACGTGTGTTCTACAGTGTTTCTATTAATCGAATTGAAATTTATTATATTTGAAGGAAAGTTGACATTGAATTTGTGAAGAAGGCACGAAGATCTACGCCATTGCAATTCTCCACTGTGAAACCAGCGGGGTGCAAGTGTCTGATTCTTTCGTAACTGAACATGTGGCGCGCAGACAGAGATTCTATACACTTTCCATTTTTAAGAAGGTTCTACTATTATCCAGATTCTTCGAGCTTTTAAACCAGTTACTCAATGTTAAGTATTTTTTAATAGTAAACGATCGTTTCACGTTAAAAATTCGATGATAATTCCAACAGGATTCAACGCGAGAAAATTGTTCACGACTCCGAAGTAGAGTTGAGATGATTATTTGCTAACGGCACACGCTATTAGCAGATTCGAAAGATGCAACGTTAGCAATCTTCGAAGTAAGATTAGGTTCCTCATAGTGATTAATTCTACTGTATTGTTTATACGTAGATAACGACTTTTTAGTATTTGCAATTTATTAGGTGTAGAAATTAATTCTGTGCGTTTACAATTACACATAATTATAGTTTAAGTAAAAATATTTAGAACAATGAATTAATTGATTTTAAATTGCACAGAAGAAGACTGTATTTTTTTCAGATACAAAATATTATATCAAGCTCTGCTAGAGTTATAATACTTGACATTGGTTAAAACATTCTCCTAAGGTATATAAGATGCAGGGAAAATTTTTTAAAAATTAAATAAATATTAAAGACAATTTTATTTAACTAATCGAGAGTAACAGATTGCTCGAAGAAATCAGTTGAAAAATAAAATATTCACGCTGGAGTTCGTGGCTCGCTTGTATTTCTTCATCGTTCGTGTTCAGAGAGTTATCTCATCGCGCACGCATCCTGATTGATAAGGAAGTAAAATGGAAAAAGAAGACCAGAGGGGGATGGGAGAAAGAGAGCGACAAACATTGAGGACGTGTTAAAAGTTCATCGCTGGTACCGATGAATGAATCTCCCTTTATCTATGGTTGTGAGATTCGTCGAGCATATCTATTCTAATTTCGCGAAGAATGAACTCGATCGTTGTCATCCAAACAAAATTACAAAACTTAGATTACAGAGAAACCAGTGCAAGCAGCAGTGAATTAAAATTTTGTGGACCTTTGGGCTACAGGTACAGTGTTTACACATGTAATCAAAGTTTAATATACTTTGTTAATTATTAATATAAAGGTACCGAATTGAATTTTTTTTTAAATAAATAATTAAGAATATATATCAGGTGTAAAGATTAATTCTCTGGCTCTATATTCAGTTATTTATAATTCTCCTTAAACTAAAGTTATAAATAATTCAATATACATTCACAGAATTAATGTCTACGCCTAATATTTATACTCTGGTTCAACATTCCTAATCAAAATCTCTGGAGACTTCCCAGTTAACGAGGGGCCCTCAGACTGTAATCCCTAAGGTCAACATCTTAATTCGACCCTGAGAGCAAGTAAACACGAGTTATCTTTGATTTGCTGTATTGATAATTGCATCGTACCTAAGTGAAGAGTGAGATTAACTTGGTTCGGATATTCGATTCCCTCGAACATTGTTTCCGACTGCCACCAGGTCGCGTTGTCGTTATTATCGTGATCGGTAAGGAATGTGGCCGGATGGTCGCCAAATCGACATATCTCGCAGGACTTCTTTTGGACGCCCGTCTGTTTACAAAATTCTGTCGGTCGGTCCTGACCGCACGTGTTCGTCGCTTCCATGGGCACATTGAAAGCTGCATTCTCGAAAGGCGGTATGCACCTCTACAACACAACGCGTTCAGAAACATGTTTCATATTATTAGCTTGTCCCAAAAGATTTTTCGCTTTATTAATAAGAAATACATGCACAATAGTTTATGTTTTATATTACATTACTCAATTGTGCACGATTCATTTTGATCCATTACTGTTACAACATGAATCTCTATGAAATTACATTGTCTATTTATACAGGGTGTTCCAAAAATGTTGAAGGTCCTTGAAAAGGGTGATTCAGGGGGTGATTTGAAACAACTTTTTCCTTAGCGAAATTGTTGTCCGAGGCTTCGTTGAGGAGTTATTAACGGAATACACTGACCAATCAGAGCGCGCGTATACCGTTGGAGCGGCCGCGATAGCGATGGCTACGCGCTAGGTAGCCGCTCTCGTACGCGAACAAGTGACTCGACGTGCATCGAAGGACATTGACGCGGCCGCTCAGCGCGTAGCTTTCGCTACCGCGACCGCTCCAACGGTATCCGCGCGCTCTGATTAGTCGGGTTTTTTTAAATAATATCTACCCCATCCGACATTTTTGCATAGGAAAAAGTTGTTTCAAATCACCTCCTGAAGCATCCCTTTCAAGGACCTCCAACATTTTTGGGACACCCTGTATAAACACGACCACATAAAATAATTGAGTGCAACTCGCGAAAGAAACTTTTTTGACAACCTAATACTACTGTTTCAATTCTTAACGAAGCAACGAAAAGGAAACAAAATTATATCGTGGGACTCTTCCAGCGAATAATTAATCTCCTCTAGATTTCATATATTATTCGAAATAAATAAATTGACATTCTTCATTTTTGTAAATCTGTAGAGTAGTAATACAAAAGCATTTGTTTCTTTTTTTCAGGGGGAAGACCACATTAGGAGTCCATGTGTTAAGTGTTTCTTTGGATATTATTTTTTATAGAGAAGAATTTATGTAATATGTATGTAAGCGTCAAAGTCATTTGCAAAGGTGCAAAGTGACACTATAGCAAGTACAAAGGATTACTATAGGACCATCGCAAGTGGGGATCAGTTGTGTTCAACTATTCATTGTTTCAGAAATTATTTTCACTGGAAAATTCTTTAGTGGTAGCTGAAGGTCTCTAGATGGCACTGTTTTTTACAGGATTTCGGGGAATTGCGATTCATTGTAACTAATTGTAAGATTAACCACACTAAAAAAAGTTCAAAATTAAAGTAGAATTCTAAATATGGATTAAAGCGCTATTAGTCTTATTATTTTGTTTGCAGTGTAAATGTAATTGTGGTATACGTTATGTAAATCAAAATTTGTATATGATATTTCCTTGAAATTTTGAAGCACGAAATTATACATAAACTTTAAGTGAAATTGATCAGTCAAATACTCTCCAAGTTCGTTGTTAGAAAATAAAACAAAGACAAAGAGAGTGCTGCTTTAATTTTTTAATTTTCGAAATACTTTCACGCTTGGAACGTCTGTCTAGCTTTATCTTCCTACGCCTATCGTTGAAACACGATGTTATTTCGAACCTCGCTTTGATAACCTAATGTAGTAATATTCTACAAATAAAAACCGTAACTGCGATGACTAAGAATAAACAGGAGCCTGTTCATGATGGGCTGGTAGACAAAGACAGATAGAGTACCACAGTTTTCTTTCTCTTTTTAGGTGTGGTACAGTTAGAGGCCTGTCTTCCTTACTCTCTTTATATCTTTTTGATTGTATAACAATTAACGATGTAAAGGTTACAAACCTGCGGTTTTCCTGTATCATCGTAACACTTGTCTTCGTCAGGAAATTTTAGGTATCGAGTATAAAGTTCATCCGAAGGCTCTGGATCCGCAATTACAACCACCAAGGAGATTACAACTAACAGCAACATCCTCTTGTGTCTTCCTCGCGTCATTTTTAACTATGTTAGGTGACCCTCTTTGTTTTAACGTCGGTCCACTTTCTTCTGCAGAGATCGGTAGATCCGTCGGTTGGGAACACACGCGTTTTCTCGAATTTTGTTGAAAGTTAGGGTGAGCACTCGATCGGGTCCATCGGCAAAGGAATCCGCAATAATTTTTACTTTTGTTGCCGAGGCCGCATTCCGCGAACAGTTCCTCGCCTTCTTATCTGTCTAACGTTCATTAATCTCAACATTAGTCGATCGAATACCAATTGCTTTCTTTCATCGAATGAATGGCAGAAAATAGAGAGAGAGAAAAAAACACAAATTCAGATGCGATTTGCGAAATTTATTAACGAACTCGAAATATTCTCTTTTGAGCGTTATTATTTTATTTTGTAATTACTACTAAAATGACAAATGTAAATAGAGTTATATCTCGTGGGAATGAAAGTATTAGGTGTGAAAATTAATTCGATGCCTTTCTAAGGTTAACTTATCATTTATTTATAAATGAGAACTCAAGTTTTAATCTTCTTTTAATTACATATTTCAAGAGAGCAAATTTATTACTATGTTGATACTTCCATGTATCAAAATGGAGGGTAAATATTTAGGTTTGGACTAGAGTTATGAATAAAAAAAGAAATAATAGAAAAATGATTTCTACGTGTAATAATTATCAAGTATAAATGTAATCTGTTAAAACAAGTATAAGCAAAATTTGCTGATCACTGAATTTCAGGTTGAGATTTATGTGTATACAGATAAGTTGCAATGTCTATCAGGTTGAGACTTATATATAGATAAATTGTAGCGGAAATCAGTTTATGAATTTAGAAGAATGATAATTTAACGTAACAAAATGTCGAATAAATATTTTTACTTAAACTATAGTTACAGACGACTGAACGTAAAGGCACAGAATTAATTTCTAGATCTAATATGATCGAGAATGTAGGCGGTAATATCGAAATTTCATTTAAACGAAAATGAATAGGCACACACTTCCCAAGAATCTCAAAAATTTTAATTCAAAATGTTTTTCTACATAAAATTACTACACAGGTGGCATTCGTTCCAATAACTACGTATAACTTATAAAATCACGAAAGTTGAACAATTATTATTGCCATACTTTTTCTTTTTTTAACGATTTTTAAAATCCCATTCCTCGCTACCTACATCAGATCACGTGATATCGATATGCATACAATCCTATTCGATTACACGATTTTCCAGCGCACAGATCACAGAAAATATCTACGAAAGTGAAATTCAAGCGCGCAGGCTACTTTACCATCGTTATCAATGCTAAATTAATAATCGACGTTAAATATTAGTTTGAAAATTTCCGGATAAAGAAAAGAAATCACGCGAATCTTACAAAGAGCCAGCGAGATCTGCAGGTAATTAACATTCACAATTGGATAGAACACAAAACCAATAGGAAATCGTTCACTTGTGCGTCAACTAACGGCGCTCGCACCAGGTAACGCAGATTTTTCTAAGCCAAATGATAAATTCTCGTTCTAACCTCTTCGACCGATAGAAGACTGGGAAACCGTGAAGAAAGGCTCTCTCCACGCGACAGTATACTGAGAAACTGAACGAGAGGAGTTCGTGGGGCTGTGGGGAAGTCGAGTGTGCTGATGCCGGGTGTTTGTGGTGGTAACAACGCCGACACTCGTGGTAGACCAGTGGTTCTTAACCTTTTTAAGCTCACGGCACCGTTTTCCACATTTTTATTTAATAGTCTTTTGTCTCTAGGACACAGCTTGGAAAAGACAACCTGATACAGGTCTTAAGCGGGAACAATTGCAATAACATAATAATAGGATTTCATGCTTTGTTCTGTAGGAACCAGTGTTTCTCAAACTCCATCTTCTTGCAGCCACAAATTTTTGAAAATCAGTAGATGAAATTTGTCGATACTGATTCGAATACTCAGGATAGAATTGATCTCTTAATTCTTTAACATAACACAGAAATAAATGTAATTATGTTATCAGTAGACTACAGATTTTATACATTTATCATACAAGCTGATGTAATAAATACATATGCATATACATAAGTACATATAAATACGTAATTAAACATAAATACAAAAATACATAACGAAAAAGTATGTGTACTTATGCAAAAAGGAAATAACAATATTATTACATTAATCGCAGAATATTTTAACATACATTACGTATATTTTGTGTTCAATTTCTTACATATAGTTATTACAATTATCATTCAATTTAAACAGTTTTATATATTTTCAACTTAGACGAATTTATTTGAGACTGCGTCAAAATAATATTTCTCTAATTTCAGTTTTTAAACGTTTAAACGTTGCAGCGACCAGCTAAAGATTATCTATTAATTTTAATAATAGTTTCAAAGGCTATAAAAATAGAATTTAAACAGTTATTAAATCTATTATCAAACATTTATGACATAGTATGATCATGTACTGCGGTTAAGAATCACTGTGGTAGAAAGTGCAGGCCCAGAACAGGTCAAGAGAAGCGTCGTCATTGTTAGGGTTATATGTCATATATTATGGTCGCAGCATATACCCAGATTTAATTATAGATTTATAAATATAATTAATATAATACCACTAAACATTTTGTACTTTATTTTGCATTAAAACTACATATAGCTTTCCATTACTGAAAACCAATCAACAAATAATCTAACATAATCGTTTAAATTAATTTATTTAAAAAATGAGTTTAGTCTTTCCTGACCGAAATCGAACATTACAGATCGCTTTATTAGTGTTCGTAAACAACAATCCGTATCTCGCTTAAACGGAAATGAGAGATTATTCAGGAAGTGATGACTTCTTCCTTCTTCCACTCCACTGCTATTTCATATAGAATTGTCTTTTAACCTTTCTCTCTGGTCACGCCATTCATTGATATAAAATATCAAAATTAACATTTGATTGAAAACGGTATAATGGAAATTTCAGTTCGATAACGGAATAGAAAAATTTGGTTACGATCACAATTATACAAAAATAATTGAAAAATTCTGATTAATCGAAAACACGTTCAAATAACTTTGTAATCGTTTCTAGAAAATTTCAGTGCTAGAAAAGTTCACTGTCCGTCGCCTGGAGACACGTTAAAAGAGTTATCTTCCTACCAGGAAATGTGTAGCGATACCATAAGACCACCCACGCGTTTAAAATTGTTTAATCAGTAGACAAAAAATTCTATTTCATTTTACAAGCACAGAAACTGTACTTATATTTGTATAAAAGTATAAACGTTGTACTATGCGTACTATTTCGTGCTAATGCTCGTGATAATGTTATTAGTAGACTGCGGATTTTTATGCAAAATAAAATCTTTGCTAACGTGCCTACCAAAAATAGAACCTAAATAGGAATTTATTTTACTCTGTAAATATTATAATACAAACTTTACTTTCAATCTTTTTTATATTCTTGCATACTGTTTGTACATTTTGTAGCTTCATGCACATTCAAATTTCCTATAAATACATAAAGGTCCGCAGTCTAGTTATTAGGTAACATCAAATATACACGACTTTCTTTTAATTATATTAATATCAGCGAATAAATAATTCCTATTACTGGAATTCACAGAAGGTAATCATATATAACATCACAATGTTGTTTCTTAAATTATGTTCTATTGCTACGTATTTATTGAGTGTAAGACAAATACCCATAAGGACTACAATTACTAATTTTATCTATGTTCGACGATGAACAGTATTACAGTACAAATACCGTAAAATATAATTAAAAGAGCTATACATTCAATGTTAAAGAAATTTACATTTTATATTTGACTAATTCTTAGTACACGTTGTACACTTAGTACAATTCTTAGGTTGTCCAGAAAGTTCGTGCCAATTTCTAAGAAACATTCAAAAACACGTTTGAATTGTAATATATATTTATTGAATTACATAGGTGCCATTTTGTTCCACAACCCTTCCACCTTTTAAGGGATGTATGCATGTTATTTGTTTTCAACCACTTCGATATATTCAGACCTGTACCATCTACCAAAAATCGACATGGACTTTCCGGACAACCCAATAAATCGTCGATCTACGTCATATCCGTTTTGGAGAAAAATACATCTTTTCGTTAAAACTGCGAGAAATTGTAATTCGTAGAATTATATTAACAAATTAGATACTTTTCGTTTCCCTGTCGAGAAACGATGAGAAATGTGCACGTAAATCTTGAAGATTTACGAAAACGTCGTTCTTAGAAACGTTTTGGTCATCTATGGCGTCGCCATCGCGATTAATGAGAATGCCATTCCAATTGGCGGCTTTCGCCCCAATATAATCGTACCTGATGGAGTCGCCTATATGTATCGCCTCCTGGGGACTGATATCGATACTGTGCCGTTCCTTTGTTAACCTGAGGGCTTCTTCGAATATCGAAGTGTCAGGTTTCTCTACACCGAAATCGTAGGACGTTAAAACGAATGAAAAGTAAAATCGTATGTTGGTGTCCAAAAGTATCGCTTCCAATCTCTCATCGAAATTCGATATCACCCCTAAGATCACTCCCTTTTTCTGCAGATATTCCAGTAACTCGATCGTGCCAGGATACTTGTGCCAGCACATATTCGTGCCATAGCACTTTATCAAACTGTTAGCAACCTAAGGGTCATAACGATAAACAGGGTCATCGATAGTAAGCACGAGTTTGATCAAATGGAGCTAATTCGATGTTTCTCCATTGTCTTTTTCTAACCCAGTTTCGCGTTATTTATTCACGTGAAAATCTGTACGTTCCATAACGGTCTGTGTTAAAGTTACAAAATTTTCATATCGTTATACAGAAAATTGAAATGGTTAATTTAAATCGAATTAGTGCTCGTGTGATTTATATTTAATCAAAGAACAATCAAGTGAAGTTTTGTTAAAATCCTCCATTAAATAAATTCACGGAACAACTGAATGAGAACTTTTTTAATTTATGAATAATAATGAAAGATAATAATAATAATTGTGGCACAGATTTAAGACCACGGAGATATTTTCGTCTACAGGATCGGCTTTGTAAATAAACAATGCATCGCATTGGAGGTGTCTCTTGTTGGAGGCAAGTGAAAAAGATAAATTGTCGAAGTTAACAAAGAAACTACGATTATTATATCCAAATGGCGTTTTAAAATAAATTAGTTTCACTTATGTTATCGATTGTTAAGCCGATTTACTACTTAAAAATCAAAGAGAGTAAATTTGTTTAAAGGCTATGGTTACGCGTCGTTGTAATTTGTGCAATAATATTATAAATGGAACATATTGTTGCACAACTGCTTGTTGTGTAACGCAAAAACAAAGAGATGCACTAAAATTGGAAGTTGCATCGTGGCGATGGTACCTATAGTGCCGACCCTGCTCATGAATACAGTCACGAATCTTTTCAACAGTATACGATTTTGCTGTTTTAAAAAGTTCGTGATTAGCGGGTGATTATCACATTTCAGATTCGTATATTTTCTCAGTCCTTCGGTTGATCGAATACCATAACAAGATATGTATTAAATATTTTGGAGAAGTGGAAATTTCCTAAACTATCACCTTATCCAAAGTAGCTTCCGGAAGATAACTATGTTGATCTTTGAAAACATTGTGAACAATCTGCCGCCACCAATTTTCCCATCCGATGCCTGTGTGTTTCCCATACACAGGATGCTCTTTGCTAAGCCTACGAAAGCTATGTTTAAAGCTTCGCGCCACTTTGCGAGGATCGACTGACAGCCCATGCTGCGTTCCGATTGCGACGTAATGCTCTTCCAGTTTTGTCATGAGCAACGTACCAGTGACATCGAACGTTACCAGGCGCGGTCGAACCAACTTAATCATTCTTAAATCTTGCCTATGGAACAAAACACCGTGTATCTATAAGAAACATCGCTTTTACGACACCATATACTAAAAAAAAAAAAACAATCACGACCGCTCCTCGCGTGAGGTGCAGTGAGGTGCAGTGAGGTGCAGTACTGCGCAATACCACCAGAGGCTGAGTAGTTCACTGAAAACTAGAGTCGCTTCACGTTTAGTGGATTTAGAGACTCTCCAATAAGACTCACGAAATAACATTGTTTGATTCTGATTGGTCGTTGCTATTCTTTAGCAACTAGTAAATACAAGGTGTCCCAAAAATGTTGTAACACCTTGAAAGAAGTGTTATGTCAGGAACTTTTTTCTTAGCGAAAATGCCTTATTGAAAACACTGACCAATCAGAGCGCGCGGATACCGTTGGAGCGGCCGCGGTAGCGAAGGCTATGTACTAAGCGGTTGCGCTTGTACGCGACAAGCGACTCGACGCGACGTACATCAAAGGAGATTGGACGCGACCCCTTAGCTCGTAGCCTTCGCTACCACACCCGCTCCAACGGTATACGCGCGCTGTGAATGGTCAGTGTTTTCCGTTAATATCTCCTCAACGAAGCCTCGGACAACATTTTTGTTAAGGAAAAAGTTGTTTCAAATCACCTCCCGAACCACCCCTTTCAAGGTGTTACAACATTTTTGGGACACCCTGTATTTCTACAGTCTCTTCTAAAAATTAAGTAACGTAAATGACGAAATGACTAAATGACGGATAGAACCAACAACAAAACTTCTGTCTGACGGAATTCAACCTTAAAAAAGTAAGATATTAGTAAGTATAAAATAAATCAGCGATCCTGGTACATTTATTTTGAAATATATTTTTTTCTAGATATATGTAGGATATGGGAACTGGATTTGAAAGTGACAGGTTTTGATTAATAACCTCGGATTGTCATTTAAAATGTATCTTTCCTAAGTGTACTAGTCAAAACAAAACTCAAATACAGAAAGTATTAATAATGATATATTTTCAATAATAAAATTCTTAATTAATATAATACAATTATATTAATACAATTACAGTTACAATTAGTTTTTCAAATAGTCGTTGTGCAAACAAGTACGCGGCTACTTCGAGATGACAACCGAATTGACAAACAAATTGCCGCATAACAGGGGCACCTCTGCGCCTACGAGATGACATCTAAACCGACAAACCGGCTAGCATCGGTTGCCGCATAACAGGGGCACCTCTGCGCCTAACGAGATGACAATCGAACCATCCAGCAGAGTACTACTGGTTGCTGCATACTGGGGACATCCGTGCATAAAAATAAAAGAAATGCGTGCAAATACATAGACATAAGTGAAAAGATGTACAAATAGTTCTAAGTCAGCAGTATTAAAATAACTTGTAATTATATAGTAACTTTAATAAACAATCAAACAAATAAACGTGTCAGATTTTATTCGTGCCACTCTTCCCATATCATGTTCTCCTGTTATGCTCAAAGTTCAACAATGTTGCAAATGTCGAAAACGTTCCGCTCAAAGTTGCAACAAAGTTGCAAATACAGAAAACGATCCGCTCAAAATTGCAACAATGTTGCAAAAAAGTAAAAAAAACGCCCCGCTAAAAATGCAACAATGTTGCAATGCTCAAAAGTGCAACAAAGTGGCAACTCAGATGTTCGGAGAAAAGGAGATTTTTCAGATTTTGTCACATTTTGCCGAACTTCTGAGTTACCACTTTGTTGTACTTTTGAGCGTTGCAACTTTGTTGAATTTTAGCGGCTCAAAATTGCAACAAGGTTGCAAAGGTCGAAAACGCTCCGCTCAAAATTGCAACAAAGTTGCAAATGTCGAAAACGCCCCGTTAAAAATGCAACAATGTTGCAAAGGTAGAAAACGCCCCGCCCAAAGAATGCAACAATGTTGCAACGCTCAAAAGTACAACAAAGTGGCAACTCAGATGTTCGGAGAAAAGGCGATTTTTCAGGTTTTGTCACATTTTGCCGAACTTCTGAGTTGCCACTTTGTTGAACTTTTGAGCGTTGCAACTTTGTTGAATTTTTCGCGGCTCAAAATTGCAACAATGTTGCAAATTTCGAAAACGTTTCGCTCAAATTTGCAACAAAGTTGCAACGTTCAGAAGGGCAACAAAGTGGCAACTCAGAATTGCCGAAAAATGTGATACTATTCGAAAAAGTGACCCGACTTAGCAACATTGTTGAAGTTTTGAGCGGAGCCATTTGCGACATTGTTAAACCAGGAAACATCACAGATATAATGCGAAATTATAGGGAAATATTACAGAAATGGGGGGAAATTATAGAAAAATGTACCAGGAAGTAAAGGGAGGAAATGGAGGAATATTAAAGGGGAAATGTGTAAGGAAATGAAGGGAAATTATAGGGTAATGTACCAGGAAATGGAGGGGAAGTAAAGGAAAATTCGTAAGGAAATGAAGAGAATTTATAGGGAAATGTAGCAGGAAATGTCACAGAAATGAAGGGAAATTAAAGAAAAATGTGCAAGGAAATGAAGGGAAATTAAAGGGAAGTGTGTCAGGAGTCTGATATACGGCAACCTACGCTGGTCGGTTCGTTGGTTCGGCCGGCAGGTGCAAAATAGTTCTTTCTGTTGCCGCTAGATCGCGAATGGGTAATTATTAGTGGCGCCATCGATGGGAAAATATCTAAGTCGGTAGTGATAGTTCTCACTATTGCTATTTCAGTAGATGGCGTCAATGGTATAGGG